TCCACTTTTCTCATCTAGGACTTGGGACCTGGCAACGACAGTGTAGGTGTCACAAGAATAGAATAATTTAATTAATATTAAATATCAATTAAATGAATCGATAGGCATCTGATTTCTTATATAAATCTTACTCAAGATTTTATTTCTTTCTCACAAATCTTCCTTCCTCTAGCACCAACCAAGCTCTATATCACTTGGATTCTTCCAACCTAATTTAAAATATATTTCACATTATTTATCAATAAAAGAACGAGAATTGAAACATACTCTTATCTTTCCTTAAGAAGGAATTTTCAAAGTCTAATTCCTTACTCTTCATTCTCTCCCAAATTCCTTCCTCTTGCCTTCAATTCCTTCATTTTTCTCTATGAAAAATATCTCTAGTTTTAGATGAAATAAAACAAGATAACTTATACGAAAAAGGAAAGAAAAATTTTAACAAACCTCCTTCCTTCTTCCTCTCGGTCATTTTTCTCGTTTCTTCTAAGTTTTCACTTCTTTAGCGATAAGAATAAGAAAGGAGTTAAGAGGAGTTGTCAAATTTCATCCCTAAGCACAATCTTGTGCTCAAAATAGCAAAACAGAACTTCCAAATCCTCCTACACATGCGCTCGGTTCCGCCAGACGTCCGACCTCTTCTGTTCACGAAATGCTCCGACCCCTATTGGAGTCGCGACTTTTATTAGAAGGGTTGGCCAGTTTGGTTGAACCTGCCACCCAAACCGGTCCATTACAATACATGTCAATAGCGCCCACTAATATACGAAGTCAGATCTCTCGCACTATTTGAATAAAGAAGGGGTGAATAGTCAAAATTATACATGCTATAAGAGCTGTTGGTGCAGTATAGTGTTCACCATATTGTACTCTTAGCATGCTATTTAGTTTTGTTTCTTTTAGTAAATAAAGTTTATTATATTTAATTTTACTATGTTATTATTTTAATTTAAGATCCCCTGAGCCTTGTCTGATCTCTCATGCAGACCCTTGAGCCAAGTAATAAGTGGAAACTCTTCATCAGTATCGTGAAAGACCGAACTCATACAATCTCAATATCTCTGCCATCTTTTTTGAGTACCAATTTCCTCTACAAGTTGAACTTAACCTCATCTTGATCCAAATGAATGAGTTCTCTTCGTCTTTGATTTTCTTTCCATTTGAACACCGCCCGCTCTAGAGTTGAGCACATATTCATCTTAACCTAAATATATTCATGACCTTTATCTTAGTGTCGTCATCAATTTGTCATATGCTTGTTTGTGATAGTTTTTGCCAAATATATTCATGACCTTTCTTCTATTGCTTTTTTTTTGCATTTGTGCAGGGCATCTACTGTTTACAGCATTCTTCTATTGCTTCTTCGTGATTCTACAAATTATAAAATTAGAATACACGCTGCTGTTGCATTGGCTGTACCATCATCAAGGCTTGGTGAGGAATTGTTTTCCTTGTAGAAATATAATTTTGTTATGAGCAACTTTTCATCGGTAGTTTTTTATTGTTTGTTTTTTTTGTTGTTGTGCTAATGTTTTCTCAGTGAATTGCTATTTGTTTTAGGCCAGGTCTTCAAAGTATCATCACTTCAGTGAAAATTAAATTATATATTGTTATGTCAGATTTTTAATGATGCGTCTTTTTAACTTTTTATCACTTCTGTTCTGGATTTTCTACTTTCCAACCATCTTCACCATGTTTCAAACTGCCAAAGGATATTGTATGAACTAAAAGCCATCTGTGGAACAAACAACATTAAGTTGCTACTGTGAAATCCAACTAGCCTTTTGATGTGGTCATAAATTTTAAATTCATTGCTATGACTAT